TCCAGTACTCACGGACAGATCGGCTCCCCTGTTTGCAAGCCATTAACTGTCTGCGCACCACTCCCTTTTCAATATCGCTGGAAAACATCAGATCCATGGCGCGAAAGAACTTCATCGTGTCCTTTAGGACGTCACTATTCGCTGCCATCAAGGGTCTAACCCAGTCTCTCGCCCCTTTTCAAGATGCTCAATCACGAAAGCCACTCGTGATTCCTCGTCAGGAATTCATCAAACTGCAGATTGAGGGCATATTGCATTTCTGTCCGAAAGCCATGATAGTTTTGGGCTCCCCCAAACTTCTGCACCAATCCTGGTACCTTTCTAGCGAGCTGGGTGGCTTTCCCCTGTTGTCTGCATCCTGAGCCCTCCTCTCCTCAAGCCTCGCCGTCTGCATCGCTAGCTGGACCTCCAACACCCGGTACCTTTCTTCCAGGCTTGGACCCGCTCCAGCTCCTGCTTCTCCAGTTCCGGCTGGGTTGCTCATGATGCCTTCTCCTGCACAAGCTGCTTTCAAAGACTGTCGGAATGCTGTGATGAGATGATGAGCTGCTTGTGCGTAAAATCGTATCCCCTCAGAGTTTGTTCAAGTGCACAAACCTCTGTCTGTGACGGAGCCCCTCAGACATGGCTCCTCTAGTCACTAGCAGATTCCGACAGTGGTTGCTTTCGTAATCGCTTCCAACATAAAAGCTCCTTAACGGAAACACGTCTTCTGGACTCTCTGCGTGACAGTTTCCGGCGAGGAGTGGGTGTTCTTACAGGAGGTCCTGAAACCTCTCCACTGTTTTCGCTGGAAGTGTCTCTGAGCCATCCCTCCAGCTCAGCTCCTCTCCCCCTGCTGGTTCCCTCTTCAGCTGCTGCGTCTCTCCCAACCTGTGTGAGCCCTTTCACCTCCCTGCTGGTTCCCTCTTCAGCTGCTGCGTCTCTCCCAACCTGTGTGAGCCCTTTCACTTCCCTTCCGTCCGATGGCAGTTCCCTGACAGTTGGGAAGATAAATTATACCAAAGGGAGTTATAGCAAGGTGCAGGGGCCAGTATAGTATATTAGGAGACGGTGCCACACCTCACCAACTGTCACTTCTAACATATACCGTATTTTTTGCTCTATAAGACTCACTTTTTCCCTCCTAAAAAGTAAGGGGAAATATGTGCGTGTCTTATAGAGCGAATGCAGGCTGCGCAGCTATCACAGAAGCCAGAACAGCAAGAGGGATTGCTGCTTTCACTGCGCAGTGATCCCTCTTGCTGTTCTGGCTTCTGAGATTCAGAATATTTTTTTTCTTGTTTTCCTCCTCCAAAAACTAGGTGCATCTTGTGGTCTGGTGTGTCTTATAGAGCGAAAAATACGGGTATGTCTCATACTTCACTATGGATGCAGCTACAGCAAAGGCATGATCCCCTAATTCCATTTTTGATGCCTTGCTATAAAGTAGCTACCAGTTGTTGCTGCTGTGTGCTGCACAGAGTGGGTTGAACCTTTAGCATGGTGTTAACTTCGAAATGTATTAACCAGTGTTTTTTTCTGGGGGGACACAGGGGTACACATACCCCTAAAGATTTTGTGCATCTAAGTTTGGCCTCATTGAGGGGCAGTATTTCAATATGAGTAGGAAAATGAGAGTACCCCCTAAACATTTCTAAAGAAAACAAAGCACTGGCATTAACAGAAAGGTTTTGTATGTTTTGAATAATATATTCCCCTTTATTAACATGATTTTAAAAAGTGTTTTAACTGATATTCAAAATTGCTAGCTAGCTAGATAAACAGAAATCTAGTGAAGCAAAACTCCCTGGCCTGTATGTCCTGTGTTAAAATATAGCGTGCTCTAAGAAGGTTATCTAACCCAGCTATACATTAGTATCCACGGCATAACAAAACCAACAATTCTTGTAGGCTGAAACAATACTGACAAGAGAAAGCCAAGAAACCACACAAATCTTCATTTTGGCCAAGTTACTTTATATTTGTGTTCATTTTCTGTTGTTTGAGAAAATGAGTTATCACCCTCAATTGAAGTAAGAGAGAAAAAATATCACATACAATGAAAGTAGATACTGATTTCCAAGAAAGCTCTCCTCCCTAACCATTGTTCTATAATTATAACAAAAAGAACTAGCTAATTCATTAGAGACCTTATTCAGTGTTAATTTTTTTTCTCCCCGGTTCTCTCTTTCTCCCCATCTTTTCCTCTCCCCTTATGCTATTATGCAGGTGAGAAGCCGCACCAATGCAGCATTTGTTGGCGATCCTTCTCCCTAAAGGATTACCTAATCAAACACATGGTGACTCACACCGGTGTCAGAGCCTACCAATGCAGCATCTGTAACAAGCGTTTTACCCAGAAGAGCTCCCTAAATGTGCACATGCGGCTCCACCGTGGGGAGAAATCCTATGAATGCTACATCTGCAAGAAAAAATTCTCACACAAGACCCTGCTCGAAAGACACGTGGCTCTGCATAGTGCCACAAATGGAACACCTAGCACAACGGGCACTGGGGCAAGGGCTCTTCCCACTGGAGTGATGGCCTGCGCAGAGGGAACCACATACGTCTGCTCCGTCTGTCCTGCTAAGTTTGACCAAATTGAGCATTTCAATGACCACATGAGGATGCATGTTTCAGATGGATAAGTAAAATCTATTCTGTTATGAACAACAACAAAGCCCAACCAGAGAAACAACAACAAAAAGCTATGGCACTAGAATTTAATAATTTTTTTTTCATTTTTACTTTTTTGTTTGTTTATTTTCATTTCATTTTTGTACTACATGAAGAACTGTTTTTTGCCTGCTGGTACATTACATTTCTGGAAGCTGGGTGAATAGTAATTAGCTCAGCCTTCCTTTGATGGTGGCCTTAAGGCCAGATAGTGCTTCAAGAGATCTACTGGTTGGATCTCTAGCTACTGGCCTCTAAATACAACCCTTCTTTACTACAAAAAAAAACTTTTAAAAAAATCTTCTTTGTCACTTGTGAAGAGCACTACACACAAAAAACCCCAACAACTAGAGGAGAAATATGTTATGAAATCTACAAGGCCTACTGTCGTAAGTACACCGCTTACAGTGTTTCAATGGACAGATTCACAATTCTGACCGCTTTGGACTTCACAGTATCCAGTTAAAACTGTGGAATAGAACCATATGGTTGAGCAGCAACCACAGAAAATGGGCCCTATTGGATTCCACCATTAGTCTTGCTATCTTAAAAAAGGGCTGTGGAGAAGGGCAAGGGAGTTTGGGTTGGATGGTGTGGAGTCCCTGCAGGATGGGGAAGGAGAATAATAGGTTCCTCTTGTGGATTCTGTTCCATTCCACACATTCTGATTCATAATTCCCAACTTCTTTCCTCCCCACTAACATCAACACCATATTTCATCAAAAGCTAGGAACAATGAAGTAAGAATTGAGGTGAGCAAAGCTGGCTTTTTATGTAATTTATTCAGTGTCTTTGCTGAGCCATGGGCCTCAGCACAATCAACGGGACTTTTGCAAATATCAAAGAGAAACAGCAAAAGGAAAAGATTTCAATATTTTTTTTCCCACCTAGTGTTCTAGATACACAAAAAGGATTAGCTCCCACAATCTTTGGGGGTAGGTTTGTTTTTTTGTTTTTTAAAAGGCTGCATCAAGATTTATTCTTGTGGAGGAAAGTGATGTAGAAAGTGGGTGGGAAGTAACTAAAAAAAAAGTTCTCAAGATTTTTTTTAATTCAAAATTTTATAGAGGGACAGATGTGGTGTTTACCAGATAGAGTGCTGATTTTTTAAAAAAATATATTTACCACAGTATTTGTGTAAAAAAACAAAAAAAACAAAAGTGTAACCTTGTTAAAAGTAATTTTTGTTTTCTCTTTTGTTTTGCATACACTGCCACTAATATCTGCTCAGTTACATAACTGAATATATATGTGTATGGTGTGCGCATGTATAAATATATGCATATATATTTATACGTGCGTGCGCACACACATATATATATCTATATCTATATATATATCATTGTAGATAAAGACTGTTCAGATTAGGAATCCTACTTCCAATTAGCAAGAGGGGAAAAGAGAACGAGGTGATCCTGATGTCTTGTTTCAACAAAAGATAACGTATCAACCTTTTTCTGTTATTTTTCTCTGTGCTTTTTAGTAGTTTGAAAATAGCAGTCTGGGAGTAAAGTGATATTATATGTGATTTTCCCCTCCATCATATTCTGCCCGCCTTGTAGTGTCACTTGAAAAGCTGTTCTGAATTTGTAGTTTTGGTTTTATTTGGCTTTTAATTTATTTTCATCTAAGGTTCTGATGAAAGGAAATTGGTTTTCGGAAGCAAGATTTTAACACTATTTATCTGGCCTTTGGAATGGGAGTATTTGTTTTGCTCATAAGTCCTGAAGTCCCTAGGTGGGCAAAGTATGAAGATTGTTCTAACACATCCTGTTATTCTGTCTTTAATCTTCCATAAATGAGAAATGGATCCAGTCTCTTTAGTTACTAAGATACCATGATTGTTCTTTTCCCTTACAAATACAGCTCATCTTCGTTATTTTTCATCTGCAAAGATATTAAAGTTTGGATAGGTACAGAAAGGTGTGGCCCAAAGTGGAATAAGGCAGGCAGGATATACATTAGAAATTCATTTCATTTCGTTTTATTATTGACGTAAGGTGTGTCCCCTAAGTTTTAACATCTTCCTAGAGGAGTTTTTGAGAATTTATCACCCAAGGTTGACTGACATGCTTTTAGTGCCTAGTTGAATTGGACCAATGTCTGACAAATCTCGTAAGCATTTGTCCTGTGCGGTAATTTCTAGTCTAAGCAAAGTGCCGTATTTTTCGCTCCATAAGATGCACCTGACCATAAGACGCACCTGCTGGAGCCTTGGCAACGGGACAGCGCCTGCAGCTCAGTAAGCCTGCCTCCAAAGGCAGCAGCAGCAGCAGCAGCAAAACTGAACTCATCGGCATTCCCGGCGGCTGCACCAACAGCCGCCACAGCCGCTCTTTTCAATGAGCCTCATTTTCCAGCCGCAACATCTATCTCCCTGGGCAATATTTGCTCAGACATTACTCGGCTCTGGCGGTAGCACCTCTCTCTCTCTCTGGCCTGGCATTAAGCCGCAGCAGTTCCCTGGGAGAGAGGACACTGGGGGCGGGGGGTGCAGAGAGACAGAGAGAGAGAAAGCTTGTCTAGATCAGGCATTGTTGTTGTTGTTGTTAATTTGTATACTGCCCTCCATCCAAAGATCACAACATAAAAATGCAAAACAAAAACAGAGCAAAAGTGAAGGTTGTCGCCTCGCCTTGCAAACAAAACCCAAAAGTGTTGCCTGCCAGCCTTGCTTGGTCATCCAAGGGATAAAGAGACCTGTTTCCTCTACTTCTGGGCAACGTCTCCCTCAGAGCCTTCAGACACACATGGGCATCTGGCAGCTAAGCCTCGGGGTAAGAGGCGAGTACATTGCTTGGTGGCAGCTCCCCGTCCCAATTTGACAGAGCGCATGAGGGAGAAAGTTCCCCCTCTGCACTGGCTCCTGGCTGCTCTCATGCAAGTCACAGAGTACCTCAGATGGAGGGAACTCTAAAGAGTGTTCTAAAGCCCTCTTCCCCCCGCCTCACATGGGCGGGGGACGCTCACGCCCCCACTGCTCCGGGAACCAAAGTTCCCAGCTCCGCCGCTGCCAGGGACCACACATTCGCTCCATAAGATGTACAGACATTTCCCCTTACTTTTTAGGAGGAAAAAAGTGTTTCTTATGGAGCGAAAAATACGGTACAATAATATGTAAAAGAAGAGACAAAGAGGAAATTCTTAGATAGATTTTAAATGTATCCCTTCCTCAACCAAATTTGCTGAGACTATTCCTAAGCATGCTTATGTGGAAATAAATTCCATGGAAATCAGTGGGACCTACTCCACGTAACAGAATTACAGTGACAGAATTACTAACGTCTGTGGACTTTATGAGACACTCCTCCATTCTAGACAGCTTTATTCTTATTTATTTAATACTTAAATATTCACTATTCCTTAGGGTGAAAACGTTTGTTTTACTGTCTATAATCTATCTGGGATGAAATGGCATAGTTAGGGGATATTGTCAGATTTCTAGGTAGCCACAGTTTGTATATGATTGTTTTCCGATCCTAACCAGTTACAATGAGACAGCCTATCACATATGATAAATATTACAATATCATGACAATATTTTCAAAGATGACATTGTTTCAACATTAACTTTTTAAAAAATGATTATTGGCACAAGTGAAAGGATATATACTGTTCTTATAAATTATTTAAGCAATTTAGATGCTGCCCCTGTCACTAGTCAATAAATGCACGACATCCCAGTTCTAAACAAACTGAAGGGAAGAAAGTCCCTGTATAGGAACTTCATCCCCACTGGGCTCTGAACTGATAAAAATGTGTTTAAGATTGATATTATAAATGTTGACTCCCATTGTAGTAATTCTCAAAACTAAAGGCAAAAAAATAGCTGCATCAGAATGAAAAGAAAAAGATGAGGAAGTGCACAAAAGTATATGACAGTGTCTAAGCATTATCTTCTAAGCATTATCTTCACAGACTACAAAGATAATGTTCTTTAATTCACTTTAAGCAATATCTCAAATTTCTTCACATGAGGAGAAAAGGTAGTTGTCAGTAACAGAGGGGGGAAAGAATACGATAAAATACCCTAATAATAAATTTGATTGAGGTGTCAAAAAAGGGACAAGTATCTGAAAAAGTGATGGGGAAGCAGTTTAGGAATCAGTATTTTTGATATTCAATGTCCCCCTAATGTACTATCCCTGCAGTGAAAATCTGTATTAAAATATCAATATATAGTAATCTAATGCTCAATCGCAAATGAAAAACGCCCATCAGAAATTACGACATGGTTCAGACATTTACTAGGCAGGAATAGGCTTTGATTGGAGGAAGAGTAATTCAACACCCCTGCCCACACAACTGAAATAATATATATTGTGTATGCTCCATGCAGACTTTTATGTGCAGCTGATCCATTAATGTGATTTTACCAGTCTCCTGTCCTAGCAATGGAGCACCTGAATCACATGTTTCTTCCAGTGAATGGGGCAGAACAGAGACACTTGCACCAATTCACCCCATGAAAGCTGTTGCCACCTGTAAATGTCTGAATTAGGTAAATTAGATTTATGAAATTTAAATTGAGTGACAAGCTATCTAAATACAGATTTGATTTGTTAAAGAGCAATTCTAGAACTTGAATTATTTCCAGAGATTCAAGTTATGTTCCTGTGTCTGTAGTTTTGTACATTTAGCTACACACAATGCCTAAAAAGATATAGTTTTGAATTAAGTTTTGCTACTGCCTTCTGGATTTTCCAAAACTAAAGTAATACAAAAGGGGTATTAAGTTAGATGGTACCTATCCATAGGTACAAGCATAGTTTAGAGAGATGCAATCCAAAAGCTTTCCAGGGATGTTGTGTGGATATAGAGCTCCACTCATATGTAGAGCACACCCTGGTACTGAAGATAATGGAGCATCACCAAAGCTGTCTGTCCTTACTGGAACCAATGATTCAGACCACTCTTGCAGTTAAATTTATTTCTACATAGGCAGATTAAGCCACAAGGATTACTCTTAAAGAAACTAAAATTCAAAATTATATGGTTTTAATATTTTCCCTTCTAGCACGTATAAACATACAAGATCCATGTTATAGTCCCAATCTAACAAAGAGTGGTAGTTGGGGCTTAAGCACACCTAGTTTTGTTAGATTACAGCTCCTTGGTTTTTTAAAAAAAATCAATATAATTGGCAGTATACAAAAATTCCATATAGTTGTTTTCTAGCTTTACCGAATCCTAGTTTCTTTACTTTACAAACTTTATTGCTTATTGCCAAAGGTCACCACAATCCAAAAGTCCTAATAATTTCATGGTTCCAGTGTTTGTTTGGGCACTGAATTACCGTAATTCTATAAAACAATTCATGTTGTATTTATTTATTTTTTGTTATGTTTTAAATATATTTGCACTGAACTTAACTGAACTTCCATGTATTTAATTACTAAAGGGCTCAATAACAGCACTAAAATAATCTTCCTTTTTATATTCTTTAAAATAGTCACTGAAAGCTTTGGATATATGAAGAATAGAAAACCCAGGTCAAGCCTTGTTTCTTTGCTGAGAAATGGGGAAAACCCTGGTTTGCATATAAGGTAAATGATGCTATTATTCTCTGGCCACAGGAGTTATTTCACATACTGCTGCCCATTTCATGCCAGGTGGTGTTCAGGTTATAGAGAATGGACAATTTAAAGCTATGTCCTCACAGAACATAACAGTGCAAGCCTAACCATGTCTACTCAGAAGTCCTATTGAGTTCAGTGGGGCTTACTCCCAGGTAAGTGGGAGTAGGATTGGCACCTTAGTGCTTTATTGCATGTTACAGTGTACTATATGGGAAAAGCGGATGACTTGCATTCCTGCTTTTTGCTACATGTTTTCTTGTCTGAAAACGTGCTCGTTCTCTTTTCAGGTTGGGTAACATGTACAGGTGCATTGCTCTCTGTCTCATTTTAGATCATTCCAAATTATGAGAAGCAGTGCCGGGGGGGGGAGGGGGAGGGGTCCTGTGACGTGCAGAATTACTGCATTTTTCTACCATACTTTCTCCACCATACTGTTTCCCTTTCCCCCCAAAATTTACCTGGCAGTAGTGATGATAAAGGCTGTGGAATATAGTCTGCTGTAGTGTTCAGGGGTCTAATCAAATCTGCAGCAAGTAGCCTTTCTCGTTGCCTCCACCAGGTAAATTTAATGGCAAATGTAAGGAGATCTGGGGTGAGGCCAAACAAATTACAAGCTGAATACAAACACTGATGGCTTTTGTTCTGCTTATAAATATATTGAAAATTCTCAACTGTGGTTCCCAAGACCAAGCTTTTGAGATTTCTAGTTAGCATGCCCTGGGCCTCTGATGGTGGCATGATGTGGTACAGTCACTTAGACTAGCGCACAGGGCAAGGAGCCAAAGGCTGTTTGGCAGTGACTGTAGGTAGTAGGTGAATTGAACTTGAACTGGATTTGGCATTTGGTATCTGAAAACGGATCAATTTAAGAACACCATTTGTATGGCTTTTTAAAGAGGACACTGTCATTTACTTTTGATGCAAAGAAATTCATTTCACAAAAACATTTTAGAAAGCATAAAGTTTAGATTAGGTATCAAAATAGCATTTAAAATTTCACAAGCAGTGCTGTTTACCCAAGAACTGGACCTGTCCTGACAAAAACTAGAAAATAAAATGTTTGGGTTCTCCGCCCCCCATTTTCACACTAGTTCCCTCCACCAATTATAGGAAGTGGCAAATGGCAGTAAAGGAAGATAAATAATACGAACATATTTGAGAAGAGAAAAGAACATGTAATTAGCTAAATCAGAAATAAGTTCTACAACATAAATTAAAAGCTTGTTTTTTCAATTCTGTCGTAACGTCACAGATATTAAATTACTCATAGAAGTAGTGTGCTTGCGGAATATAAGTTACCCATAAAAACAAGGGCCATTTTTGCATCTACTAGAACATCTTTGATAATACATGAGGACGGCAGACAAGAGTAGTAACCAGCCACCACCTTCAGAACATAAAGCAAACTCCTGTTTTGAGTGACTATAGTTAAGTTTTTGTTCTCACTGTTTTTGTTCTCTTTCCCACATCCAATGAAAGGAATCTGTATTTAAGTTTAAAAGCTCTCCTGAAGCTCCCAATTTCCCTTCAAGAAAAAGTGTTTGCTTCTAACATCACCTGTATGCCATTTCCCATTAGGAAGCTGCTTCATATCAGAGCTGACTCTTTGCCTCTTGAGTGGCAGTGGTTGTGCATGGTCTCAGGCAAAGAACAGCCTTTCCTACAACCTAATACCAGAGATTGAAACTGGGACCTTCTGCATGCAAAGCATGTGCTCCACCACTGAGCTATGGCTCCTCTCTTGTGTCTGGTTCTTGCAGTGGCACCTTTATGAAATAGTCGGATAGGAAAGTGGGGGGGGGGGAGTACATTTTTAGAAAGAGGGAGCAGATGAGCACAGCAGTATATGCTATCCATTAAATGAGTATTTATCCCAACTCCATCTACTGATGGGAGTCTTAACTTTTGCTTCATAAGGTTGTCCTAAAATACTTGTACTGTAATAAAGTACCCAAGAAGTTAGTGAGATTAAACAGAATATTATTTGGGAAGCAATTATATTGCAGCCTTATGTAGGATTGCTGCCTTAAAACATACAAAATCTTTAAAGAGGGAGTTTGTTATTTTTTATACCTATGTTGAATCTATATTATTTTTAAATGTTCATTCATTTGTATGAAATGCTGCACATTTTGTTTTAAAACTGTGTGATAGTATGTGGGACAGCAAGGGTTATCTGTGAAGAGGCCACCAGCTGGAAAGTATTAGTGCTACTATTAAAGTAGCTGCTATCTATTTGCACTGCACTGTGCCTGTTGGATGTCAGTCAACTAACTTAAACAAAAAGTTAAACAATTCAGTTGTATTGGTGTTATCTTTATTTTAATTTTGCAATCTAAATCCTTAGTTTGGTCATACGTTGTTTATCAGTTGCTTTATCTGAATGTAGGCTTCACAATGCGAGCAAAAGACTAATGGCCAAATTAGACATGCCAGTGTCATGTCTGCATATGTTATCATATACCGTATCTCTCCAATCACATAGAAAGCAGATGAAGAGGGACCAATATAAAGGGGCATGTAGCTAAGGAGCCCCACAACCCCTCTCAGGACAGGTCTGGTTTTAGTAACACAGATCTCCCAAATTAGTTCGTTTGGCCCTAACTATCATTTGCAATACATTTGAAGAGAATGGTCCATTTTCCTACTTTTCCATTCTTTTTACATATGATCTGGAACAAGTATTGTACATTTTTAGCACATTTCTTTTTTGCAATAGAAACATTGCAACAGAAATATAATCCTAGAATACTACATTTTTAAAAAAAAATACTGGTCTCCAATATTTTTAAAAAAGGGCCAAAGCTTGACTTTAGTTCACATTATTAGAATTATACTATGTTGAAAGCAAGGTGTTACCAGTGACAGAATTTGGTTTGCTATCTTTCTGCTAATTATTGCAAAAAGATCTATGTATAGCCATGCAATTGCACCATGGTAATAATTAGACATTGCAGCAAATTACAAATTATCCTTTAATTTGGGTGAAACAATGAAGCAACTAGTCTTACAATAGTGCTAGCAGCAATGGACACTGTCTGCAACTGAGTTATGCAATGTAGAAGAATGGTTATAGTTTTCAGCCTCTTATGTGGTTAGTGCATTGATGATTTCCACCTAAACCAGTATTGCAAAAGTGCTTTCCCAGAGAGCTCATAATTTACCAGCTACTAACAAAACAAGTATAGCACTTTGAATACTGTACAATTATCCTACTCTGTTCTTTAGTCAGGTGTATATCAGAATACTACTTCTAAGAAAGGGGGGGGCGGGTTCATAAGAAGTACGTGCTATTTATATCATCACTTTCTTTTCTAATGTTGAGTTATTTCCACCATCTCTAAGATACAGCATTATACAGTGTTTGACAGCAAACTGTGATCTTCATGAATAATTATAGCAGATGTGTATTTTGTTGAAACTTGACATGCTTTCCCCAATTCTATTTTATAAACTGACTGGTCTTCATTACGTAAGTTATAACTGAGTAAGAGCCTTTGTATTTAAAGGGGATCATTGATTACAATCTTGATTATGTAGAATCACTTCAATTGTAAAAGGCTTATGACCATGAAACCACACCTTTAAACAGTCACCCTGCCTACCACTCCTCCTCTGGCTGTTACAAAAGAAAGTGATCTGCAGAATGTGATCCTTTTGCTTTGCACAGAGGACCCTCCAGGGGTCTTCTGAACAAAATGAAAGGGCAAGAATCACAATTCTTCCCACTCTTGCATCACTTATAACTATAAAGAAGGTGATGATCCTTTCCTTTGTGTTGTGCTATGCTCCTGGGAAGTACAGTAAAAAGATACCTGCTGTCCCCATTCTGTTGCCTTGAAACATGAGGCAGATAAGATTTAGGAGCACTTTCTACACCTTGTCTCTTACCAGAGAAGGAAGAGGAGCAGCAGTGGCGGGCAGGTGCACAGGCTGGCAAACTGAACTGTGAGAACTTGTGCTTAGGTCCTCCACAAGCAGTAGCAGCACTTGTGGTATGATCATGACATAGACACAAACACTCTTCTAGCTGGCTTGGTACCCTCTGCCCTCCTTTCATATTCATATGAGGTGCTAATTGCTGCAGCCATTAAAGGGAGTCTTAAGTCAATGAGCTGGAAGTGTGTCAGAAGCAGCAGATCCCACCATTTCTGCCTAGAGATGCAGCCAGGTGGTCCAACAAATCAACTACTTGCTGCCTTATCCCGTGCTTTTTACTAGGGGAAGAAATGCCACTAAGGCCAATGGAGCTTATTCCAAGTAGGTGTGCATAATACTGTAGCATTGACTTGGCAGAAAACCTATTGAACTTAGTGGGACTTTCCCCCTACCCCATTGGGTTGTTAGTTATTCTGGCTGCGGGAAAGCAGTTCACAGTTTGTGCCCTCCTCAATCTAGACATTTTATCTCCCACCACAAGGCTCTCTTTCCTCCTCTATAGCCAATAAAGAATGATATTTTTTTGGTAGCAGCACCTCAAGTATTACACAAAAAAGGGGGTCAGAATTGAAATGGGGTACAGTGTGCTGAGAAGTCCAAAGAGACTTCCAGTACAGCTGGAGTAGACCATGTTCCACAAATTCTGAATTACCAGCCAGAGCATTGACTGTAGGCATCTAGTGACTCCATGCTGCATTATAGATACATAGATATTAACACCTTTGTGTACTTTTTACAGCAACTAATCCATTTCTATAGGATAAATGCATACATCTTGTTGTTTGCCCACATAAGTTCCAGGTAACTTCTAAGAATTGGCATTAGATTTTGCCTATTATACATTCATGTGTTAACATGCTTGTACTGTACTGTTCACATAACTCATGTGGAGAGTGCCCAATGCAACATTATATTACTTTCTTCTACAATCTGGTAATATCAGAAGAGCTAGGTCAAAAGCCAGTAAGGGACTTCAAGCACAGAAATAGAATGATATTTCAGGGTCACTTCAACAAAGATGAGAGTTGAGAATGAACAGTCTGATGCTACTGCTGGAATTAGTAACTATGAGGCACATTGTTCAGTTTATACCCCACTATTGATCAGATCGTTCCCTGTTTCATGTAATATACAATGAAGAGTGGCGGTGTATGTGCACATGCACACTCTATGTCTTGTCTATCAGCAGCTAATGCTCTTGAAACCAATGTGGCCTTTGTCGGGGTCTTTCCAAGGATGAATGTTCCAATTTAATCTAGCAGACCAATATTATCAAATGAAGACAAAAGTGGTTAACTTTTTAATTATCTCAAACCTACTATCTGCATTTGAGAACTTGCTCCCCACACTTGCACTATTCTTGATTATTAAGTGGGTTAGATAAGCAGCCTTTTTTTTAGAAGCATGGTGGCTCTGAAATTGTTTCAACTGGTTTCTTTGCTCCAAAATTCTTTTGCTTCATTGACGATTTTGTGACGTAGGTTTCTTTTCCCCTCACAAAACCGTGGAAGGTTTTTTTGTGTGTGCGCGTTGGTAGTATTTTCCCTCCCTCTTTAAATATGAAAATGAATGCAACAAAATTGTGTATTCATTTGGGAAAGAGGGGTTTTTTTTGTTAATAATTGTACATTGTCGTTTCATAAGCAAAATGTTAGTGACCATAAATGTATTTTTCTTTTTCTTTTTCAGTGTTTTTAAATAAAATAGTACTAGTGACTAGAAGACAAGTTGCTATTTAGTTCTGCTTAGTTAAGTACATTACACTACAATACAGTATTTCTGAAAACTATAACATAAGTAAACAATATGTACATCTCTGTATCAATATATAACACATTCAAATATATCTATGTATACACCTCCACACACACCCATATATACACTACACATACAGTATATTCATTTGTACTTTTGATTCACATTTATTACTCACCATTCACCTGCTGCAGTTAACTTGAGTCATGTAATAATTAGCAACTAAACCTAGATTCATTTTTATATTATCAGTTTCTGTATTGTCTTCATGGATTTTTTTAAAAAAATTCCTTAGCCAAACATTATAGGAGAGTTTAGGGTTTGTTTGGTTTGGGGTTTTTTTTAAAGCAACACAGTATTCTTATAAACCAAATTTTATTATTTCATGCCTCAGGTGGTCAGGGAAGCAGAACAAATAAAAACAATAACTTATTTCTGCAAATAATAGATTCACAATGCAATCCTATGCATGCTTATCAGAAACAAGTCCCATTGAATTCAGCAGGGCTTACTTTCAAGTTTGTATGCATATGGGCGCAGCATCAATTTGGGTTCTTTATGCAAAATGTACAGCAAGCTTCCCTCTTCCACTACTGATGCAGTTGTAAAATATCAGGCCTTTTTTCCCCAGAGTAAAGAAGGGGAAGCTATTGACTACTCTTGGTTCACTAGAACTCTACTTAATGCCCACCTACCCTTTTCAGATTAGTTAAATTTTACCTGCTCGGACTGGAAGAGGTACAGTAATATTTATTGGTTAACATAACCATAGAACTGCAGAACTGTAGTGCTGGAAGGGGATGTAGGATGCAGGAACCTTGTACTACAGCATTTCTGCCCAATAGTCATCCAGCCTTATCTCCAGCATAGATTGTTTCTAATAAGAATTTAGATCCAACACTTTGCTTAGTAGCCTCAAACAGATAAAATTAAGGTTTTGTTCATTATTTTCTATATGCGTTGCTTCCCATCCCAGCAACATTACAGAAATATATTTCTAGCCTGGGGTTTGGACATTTCTTATTGTACCAAGTATATT